ATTTAGCACGTAATTTCAACTGCCGAATCATCTGCATTCTGTAGTGCGCGCTGTTAGTTCATGAAGTACAGTGGTAAATTGATAAATGGAGAACATAACCAGTAGACTTATTGTCGCAGTTTTATGGAACTTAACTTGCATATGATACTGAAACGTCTTTCGATATTTTTGTGGTGCGATGGTTAGCTCGATTCGTTCTTACCCCCACAAGTTTTCGCGAGGATTCCACGTGTACCGGTGTACATTTTCGATTTAAAAAAAAACATTCAGGATTTTAGTATTAATAATCCTGAAATGAAGCCCCTGTAATGCTCCGAATAACCCATTCGTTCGCCCATTTTGTCTTCAGGATCTCAGATGAAGTCGGTGCAATTTATCTAAGCATCTTCAGCAACCATGCTATACTTGATTGTGTTTCTTGGGGGGGTAGTTTTCACTAGCAAGTTTCTGGATGTGAATTCTGCCCCGAGGTATAAGGATAATAGATCTTCGTTGCTGATGAGCCACGAAATTGAAGATGAAGGGGACGGAAATTGTAAGATCCACAGGAACACTGGGGTCTTATTCGAGCACTTTCCTGCTCTGGCCTCAGCAGATGAATCTTTAATCTCTACTGAAGTAATCGCTGTGTGCGAATATCCAGTTGATGAAACGATGTGGTGTCCGGATCGTGGTTCAGAAGGTGTTACTGCGATCCACGTTATTTTCCCGCCTCGAAAAATCGTCATAGCGAAGTGAGTACTGTCAGTAGCGTTTCCATATTATTCTCCAAACAAATTAGAGTTTAATGCCTCTTGAGTGTTATTATTCAGCGTGTGAAAGTAAAGCTTCATTATACAGTAATTTAAGATAACGAAGTTCAACATATTCTTGAAAATCAATGTGTCTAGTCAAAAAACATTATTTGTACTTCACCTTTCATGTGAGGGAGTGATCGCATGTGATTGATTGATATTAAAGCTGTATGTGCGGCTTTTCAGCGTTCAAAGGTTAATCACAAAATTTTTGCCCATCCATTCCAGTCCATTCTGGCCTGTGAAAATAATTTATCATGCATATATATAGGCATTGAAAGTAGATACATCATAGTACTGCACAGTATACGGAGAATTGGAGAGGCATGAAAACAAATTGCCATAATTTTTTTGAGTTTGACAAAAATCACAGCACAATTGAGACAATTCTGAGTTTTGCGCACAAATTAAATCACGAGGTGTTCAGCCTGTTCCCAGATAATTTTTAATTCATTAAAAGAATTGGGAAGAAACTTTCAGGAAACTTCATACAAATTTACCACTTCATCCTGGCCCTCTTAAGATTAGTGGAAATATCTTTTCATTAAGTTGTGAGGATCTTAAGTCCTTATTCAATAGTTAAATTCTAATGGTGTGGAATGTTGGGCATAGGAAAGTGGTGATGTGGTAACCATTAACCATTATATTCACACCGCAGTAATTGCACCACTTATAAACTCTGTTGAAATTTTACTGAACTTGTAATCGAAATGCTATGTGTTTGTCAACAGAGATTGTACAGGTGTGGTCAAAGCCACATACTTTTCAGTTTTTAAGTGTAGTTTCATGCCAGTGCATACCTGAATTAATCGATGAAAATTCGTTTAAACGCCTTCAAATCTATAGTTTCGTTTCATGATGATGCTGGGGAGCCGATTGAGAAAGTGCAAAAAAATATTCAGCAATGCCTCATGACTCAGACTGTGATTTTGCAGTTACATGATTCCGTTCAACTCTTCCACGTCGTGAGCCATCTAAGCTGCAGTTGCTTTTTTTCTGCCAGTTTGATTAAGTGAACTTCGGACAAATTAGCTCAGATAATGAAGCCTGTGAGCAATGAAGAGACTTTAAAGAGAGTTCTTTACTCATCTTGCATCAGACCTCGTCAACTGGAGCTTTGGTGTTGGACTCAACGATTTCCGAATGCGAGCACGATAAGGGTTGATGACAGGATCGAGTGCCTGAACGTTATGTCCGTGACGGACGTGCTTCGAATCGAAAAGGGATGTCAGTCAGTTGGCGGAGATCTTTCTGATGCTGATATTGACGATGGTAATGGACGCCTAAGCTCGAATGACGACGATAGAAGACTTTCTGAGAACCCGAGCAGTTATGGTGAGCCTCGTTTTTGTGCAAAATATTCTGAAGTACAGTAAATATAAATCCAGTTCCCCTCTGTATGAAGACGACTGCGATGCTCTGTACCACCAGGAACCCAAACCCTCGCTCAGAACTTTCTTTTCTTAATTTTTGCTTCGTTTTCCCAAGAATTGAGTGCAGTACTTCGCGAAGGCAGTTCAGTATTCTAGTTTGTCCCACGATCTTTTACAGTGGTTCTCAGACTGTGCTCCGTGAAGCCCTGAGGGAACGTATTAATTTTCATGGGGATCCGTGGCTGCTTATGAAGTTATAAATAAATACATTAATTCAAGATGACGACGCGAAATTTGTGAAGAAAAGCTTGGAAGGACGTGTTGTAATTTTTGAGGCAAAAAGTAATGCATTTGCAATTCACGAGACGTCTATTTTAGTACCAGTTGCTTTGCAAAAAAAGGTGAAAATAATTTCCTTTCAAGTTGAGAAGAAAATAAACTCATAATGTCCTGATTCATTATGCTAGGGAACCAGAAATACCGAAAAAGGTTTTTGAAGCATGAAATACCTTCAGTCCATTGAAAACGAACTTTGGAGTGAGCGCTTCCAAGTAATGTACAGTACCTTAACTTTCAATCATAACAGTTCATTATTTATCATTGTCAAGTACTGTAGTTGAAAAGGAATTTTTTATCTTTTCTCCAGACTTCGCGAGGATAATTCCAGTCTCTTCGTCGAAAGTCCTCGCGTTGAAAATACATCTGGAATGAACGGTAAATTGTGGTCAACAGGATGCGACGTCTATTAATTATTAAAATGACATTACAGTATTTTCTTCACGTAAGACAAGTTCTTCCATAAGTTCAAGGTCAGCAAGGCTTTCTTTTGGTCCGTATTTCCAGAGAATGAGTTGTGAGTTAACTTCGACATCCCAAAATTAACTGATGGTCCTAAACGTTCTTCTTCAAAGTAATTTTACAGT